TGACTATGTTTCCACATGTATACATTTTGTAACATTTGAATCAGTTTTGACATGCCCCTTTCCTGGTTTGCATTTATTTATAGTGGGAACGTGCACAGCTCTTCCTTCTGCTTTTTAAGTGGTCTGTCACCATCCCTCCAGGAGCCCTGCCATTCCTTCTGTAACTGTGACCTGATGGTCCCCATCTGCCTTTTCCCGTTCCTCCATCTCCAAGCTTTTAATTTGTGCATTCCTAGCACACTGGGTCACTTCTGAGCTTCAAGAAAAAAAAATGATATATAGTATTTAAAGAAAAAAGAAAAAAAAACCAAGTTTACTATTTAGGGTCAGCAAGATGGTTCATTGGATAAAAATACCTGGTGATCTGAGTTCAATCTGGAACTCGTATAAGAAGTGGAAGGAGAAAACCTGACTCTACAAAAGATATCCTCTGACCTCCACTTGTGTATCATATTATTTGAGGTCATGTGCGCAACAGTAAATAAATGGATGAATATTTGTAGATAATTATAAACCGAATAAAAGTATATAAAGTGTGACTGTGTGCCAAAACCTGTGAGCTTCTGATAGGAAGGCACCAGGATCCTTACTGATTGCCATTTAATCATTATGATCCCTAGCAACTCAGTTCTGATCTTCCCGCTAACTTACCTCAGAGTGTAGCAGTCAGTCATGTCAGCAAGTTACTGCTTGGTGACAACCATTTCACAGGCTATTCTTTACTATCACCATCTATACAAACTTTTATTGAACTCTCACCAGATTATCTTTTTTAAAAAGCAGTTTTGTTATTTAGTGGGGAGGATGGGCGGTAATTTGACTCAGAACCACCTCTCTTTAGCACACTCCTCAGTGAAGAAGACTCAGCGGAGAGTAACAATGTATTCCAATAGGTATCAAAAACATGCTTTTGTCTCGACTTTTCTGAGTTCTAAAAGTGACTTGGGATGTGCTGAAAAATGGCAGTGAGCATAAGTTGGGGAAGGTCAGGTCAGGTTCCCAGAAACATTTAATCGGCTGCAGGGTCAGTTGGCTGTGTGTGATTCCAAGTTTGCATCACACAGTAAGAAACGAGGGTGTCTGAACAGGAGCACACAGACAGTCATTTGCATAGGCCCTGAAGAGCAGTGTTCTAAGGTGAAGTCAGGTTGGAAGAACAGGACTAGATGGGCTGCCTCCCGAAGAGGAGTAAAAACACTGGGTCACAGCTATGGAAGCCATGCAGGAGTGCCTGTCCTTAACCCAGGGGATAGTAGTGGCCATGGAAAAAAAAAATCACAATTTAGAGATTTCATCACTCACTTTTCTTCTTCCCAAAGACTGATTAAATGTTTAAATCCATACTTGTGAGTAGAGAGTGCCGTGGGATGTTCACGCTTGTGACCCCAGTCACCAGGGAGGCTGAGGCAGAAGAGTTCTTGCAGCAGCAGTGTGAGGTCCATCTTGAAAAGTCCTAGAGATCTTTAGAAGGAAGCAATACAAAGCCAGTTTTGCCTTTGAAAAGTAATACAACTCAATTATGTGGAGTTAAACCCAAAGAAGAAGAAATATAAACAATAGAGATCCAGGTGAAGAACTGGTGAACCAAAGGTGGGGAGAAGGCAGGTACCCCCTAGGTCTGCCCACGTTTGCCTTTCCTGGACTCCAAACAGTGTGCTGGGCGGCTCCTAAACCTATTCCTGCCAGCCTCGCCCCTTAAAGGCTTCAGCCTCCAGGAAGGTGATTGCATCAGCTGCTTGTCTCTCCATTTTGAGCATGGGATCTCTGGAGAGCTCAGGGCAGGGCTGCGTCACCTCCTGCCGCAGGGGCCTGGGACTAAGGCATTGACATGACATTATGACATAATAGACTCTGGGGGTCGGGTTCACAGACCCAGCATAGATATTCCTAGGTACTCGCACCATTATGGACACAATTTAGCTTCTTCCTTTTCTCTCTTCCTTCCTGAGAGTTAGTCCATTAAAAATCGTAAGCGTTTTAATGTGTTTATGTTGTTAATAATATCTCTTGTGAATTGATGGTGTAGGATGCACTTGATCCAGGACTCAATGCTTGATCTCCTTGCAGAGATTCCAAGGTAGATTGTATTATTGCAGTTTTCATGACAAAGGTGGAAGATTCTAAAAGCTAACCGATTTTTGTACAAGAGCACATTAGAGGGGACAGAGCCAGTATTCAGTATACTGCCCCCCTTCCTACACACACACATCGCAGGGAAGAGATTTGAACAGAGTGATGGAAGTGGTTAATGAAACCTTCGAGTCTGAGTAATTTGACCTGGGTGGTGATTTGCGGGGCTTTTAGATGTGGTCTGAAAAATTCCTTCTCTGAAGTCAGCCACAATAACAGTTCATTCTTGGGTTCTCTGCCAACTATGGCTCCCTGGTTATTTCCTTCTCCAGCACTTGGAATTAAGTGACTGATCTAAGGTGACATCTGAGTAGATTGCAGTGTTAGAATTCATAGCATGAGAAGTCAGTGTGTCACCTGCCCTCTCGGCAGCCCTCGTCCTTGTTTTGGGAGCACAGTATTTGCTCTTTTGCTTCACGAGAAGGTAGAGGTTTTGCAGTATGAAGGATAACCTGTTACTGGGGATGGGGGCCAATAAACACCAGGTCGTTATAGACAGCAAGCCTGTGGCAAGGTTATTTAGCTTTCTCCCAAACTCTTACAAAGTGTTCTTAGTGAATGCATGTTTGTTTTTAGTGAATAGTTTTTGTTGTTGTTGTTCTTTTGTTTTGTTTTGTTTGTTTGTGTTCTGAAGACATTGGTCTGCAGTTGTTGGGAAGTAGAAGAGAGTGTAACCTTTAACACAGATAAGACCGGGAGGAGCAGGGCAAGAAAGGCTGCCCCAGTGGGTTGTGGGACATGGTGAAAGTAAGGGCTGCTCTATGGCTAGCTGGTTCTCAGGAGAGACATGACACAGGTTTAGCAGCAGAAGTGAGGGAGGACATGGGGGCCATCTTGCAGTCACTGGAGCCTTACAGGAGGCTCAGGTTTAAAGCCCACAGCTCCTGGAGTGGGGCTGCTGTGCCGTTTACCTGCTCATGATCCTTGCAGCCTTCTGAATTGCTGGTTCTAGATGCGCTTATCCTAGAGTTGTGTACATGCGAAGTAGTAGCTCCAGGGAGGAAAGAGAAAAACTGTGGAGGGTCTGGTCCATGGCCCTGACCCGGTAAATAGGAATCTCAACATGCTAGATGTCCTTGAAAAGTAAGGGTAAGGCCACCTAAGTACTGGACAGCAGAGGAACCCAGAGCAGAGGCAGCGGAGGCTGTAACAGAATGAAGCCATTTAACATTGTACTGGAGTTGTTAAAAAGTGGTGGGGACTGCATTCTCTTTAAAGGAACAAAGAAAAAGATCCTTCTGTTAATTTATGGGTCAGCCAGCCTTGCCTCAGCTCCAGAGCTGGGTTCTGGAGAGGAGTCCTGGCCACTCTCCAATGCAGTCAGGTCATTTTCCAGTGTCTTTCTCTCCATTTTGGGAAGTCGGGAGCAAGGTGAAGGACACGGTGGGAACCACAAATGTAAGTTTGCTAAGATTTCATGAAATATACTCTAGAGTAAAGAAAAAAAAAGTCAAGGAAATGGAGGGATTACATTCTTCACCGTTAACCCTGACCCAGCGAGCAGGGGGCAAAGGGCAAAAATAAACAACCGGGTTTCCAACAGGAATACACTAACAGGGTGTCCCTATGCTCAAGAGTTGAAGAACAATTGCAGTATTTTCATCACTGACCTGACATAACCAAATAACCTTGATAAAAACCAAAGCAGTCCGGTTCAATGCTTAATTCAGTCCCTTCGCTGCCTTGAGTGTAAGGGCAAGGTTTTGAGGAAGAGATTCGTGGGTTTATGGCAGCGGTGACACTGCCCATACCATGTTTCGGTAAAATTCACTATTGTGCCCGAAATTGCCTTTTTGTAGGCAAGCAGAGAAGGCTGCTGAGTTTGAGCCATGCATCCCTCTGGCATACCCTACATGCCTAGCATGTTTACTCCATGCGCAGCCCCGGGAAGACAAAGAGGTAGACAGGCTATATGCCCCTTTCTTCCCGGTGCAGTGGGCTGTGGAGACAAAACCCCAGCCCTGGCACCAGTGAAAAGATTTCAAAGCAACTCCCACCAGTAAGTGTGTAAGAACCCAGGGCAGATGACGCAGATAAATGTGGATTGTCCAGGGAGGCAGAGGAGCGAGCCAAATACAGCAGTGTGGATTGGTGGGGACAGGCATCCTGGTGGACGATGCCAGTCCTCTGAGCCCATTCTGTGGGGTTGGTGAGGAATGGCGTGGACGGCGTGATCCAAATGAGTGTGGCGGCCACTTCCTCCCTATCTAGGAATCTGTCTGTATCTCGCAGATGGAGATTAAATTGATCCAACAATTTGCTCTCCACAAAGCCATGTCGGTTTTCCACCTAGTAATTTATGCTTTTCCTGGTGTTTGCAAATCGATTGCTATTATGGGATGCAGACAGAACTGGGCCGGGATCCAGTAGGTTGGGGGGATTACTGGAGAGGAGACGTGAACGGTCGTGAGAAAGCCTTGGAAGAGAAGCCTCTTGTTTTGTGTATTTTTACTCTCTGAAGCAAAGCAGATTTTTCAGGTTTTTAACAGTGTTCTTAATTATATTTAGATTGTGTCTTTTAAGGGACAGTATCTGCTTTATTTCAGATTCCTACTATCCGGCCTTGATATTTGCCTAACCTTCAGATGGTTTCAGTGGCTTTGCAACCAGCCCTCTCATCTCAGAAAAGCCTTCCTCCACCCCAGCCCATTATAGATGAGTAATTGTTCCCTTTGACGAAGAAATGTGTATAGGCTTCTATCTAGCCTGATGAATAAAATGTTGTTAGGAAAAGCTTGGGAAAGTATGCTTTATTTAAACACTTCACCTCATTGTTGTACCTTAAAATTTTTTTTAAAAGTCCTTCTCAGTATTGTGAAATTCTTTCAAAACAAATTAAAAAGAAAACATATTCTGTGATTTCTTTACAGATTCTGGACAATCAGGAAGTCCAAGCCACAGTGATCCTGCCAAGAATCCTCCAGGTAAATATGTGTCCCCGGACGTGTGCACCCTGACATTGTTGGAGAACAAAGGGGCCCTGTATAGATCAACACCCATAATTGGTCAGCTGCCTGTTCTCTTCTGGCAGGCAGTGGGATTGGGACAAGATGTGATTGCATGTCGGCCTCTGCAATGGGAACTGCTTCCCGTCGGGGCGGCAGTGTTCACCTGAGCACAGGCCGAGGGTTTCACTTTTTTGGTATCTTGAACCGCTGATTCTGACACGTTTAGTGGTAGTCTTTTAGGCATTTGAAAAGCTAAAACCTTTTTAATCGTTTCTTTAGTGGACAAAACAAAACAAACAAACAAACAAAAAGCAAAACAAAATCCCAAACCAAAACAAAGCAGAAACCTGGTAACAATTTCTGTCCTCTTATAGGCAGAACGCTCTGTTTTAGGAAAGGCTCTGGCGAGAGGTTGCATTTCTATAAAGGCATTTGGCAAGACTGTTTTTTTGCCATCTTCAGTGTAAGCTGTGTCTGACCTTCTTTACTTCTAGATGGAAATGGATTGAGCCAGACCTGAGAATGGGCGCACGCATTTTGGCTGTCCTTGGGGTTTTGTTCTCCACATTTTGAACAGACGGCATTTTGCTTTTGATTTAGAGCAGTATTTTTCTTCTCATGAGAAAAGAGTATGAAATTAATATAATAAAGAATTGAAAATTTCCATCATCATAAGAATTTTAATTGTATCTGTGATTTTTGTTAAACGAGTGATCTAAAAATATTCTTAACAAAAACAAAAGCAAAGCACAGTAAATCCCAAAGAGTCACGTTTGCCCTCTGTCTCTCCCAAACGCTCACCTGCCATTTCACCGGAACAGACCACATAGTACAAAATGTCAGAATCTGAGATTTCTCCTATTTCCTTTCCTTTCCTTTCTTTTTCTTTTTCTTTTTCTTTTCCCCCCCTCTCTCTTTATTTTATTTTTTTTTTTCAGACAGGGTTTCTCTGTAGCTTTGGAAAATGTCCTAGAACTAGCTCTTGTAGACCAGGTTGGCCTCGAACTCACAGAGATCCTCCTGCCTCTGCCTCTGGAGTGCTGGGATTAAATGCCTGCACCACCACTGCCCAGCTCAATTTCTCCTATTTCCAATTACTCTGAAGTTTTAGTGCCTGGCTAATAAGAAGTTGCTGTACTTTAAGAAATTACAAATCAGAAAAATAGATTAGTTTGCTCCTAAATTATTAGAGGAATGTGGCAATCAAAACACAAAAAGTATTATTTAATTTTGTTTTGGAAACATGTATATTTTTCTACATACATATTAAGCTATTCTCTATAGAATAGTCTGCTAAAATTATATTATTTGGCAAAATATTATATAATCTGTGATGAAAACCGCAATTCAATACATATTATATACTCCAAAGGGGAAAGTATTAGTTCAATATGTATTATATATGCCAATGATAAAAAGTACTAATACAATTCTTATCTTAAATTTATGCTGAATTGATTTTCCTTGATGAATTCGCTAATGCAGCAAACTGAGAGCAAAGCATAAAGTATTTAAATTAAAAATAAGCTTTTAAAAGCTTCTATACATTTTACCAATAAATAAATAAAAGGTAGGGAAACACCTTGAGGAGAAAAGGGTCAGTAAGTCTTAAAAACCAGACTAAACCGAAGGCTGTGCTGTGTACTGTTGTTTGCCTCTGAAGGGCAGCTCGAGAGGAAAGGCTGAAGTAGCCCCGTGAAGTGCATTTCTGAGCAAGCGCAGAGGCTCAGGGGATGCTGTCTGCTGGTGCTGGGCAGAGCTGGGCAGAGCTGGGCAGATGACCTTCTTGTGCTCATGCAATGGCCAGGTTGGGTTTTCAGTATTTGCCTGGAAGGCTAGTTAAACTGCTCCATACTGTGTAGAATCTCTTACTTTTTCTGTTTTTATAAAGCAAACAGAAATCAGCTAGGGCACATCAGTTTCCCCAACTTTCAAGATTCTTTGGGGGACGTGTTTCTTGATATATGTCAAAAATTAAGATGTTAAAGTTAATTCGTTTCAATTAAAGTTGCATTTTCATTGACCACTCAGGAACACCCATCACTTAACATCATGTTTTGGACTTTATTGTAGAGCTTATTAAGGAATTTTTGTTTTATTTTGAGACAGCCTCTCTTAAAGTATTAAAATTTTTTGATAAAAGTAAAAATATATTCTACAATATTTTGAAATAAACCAGACTTTTGGAAGTAGATAATATTTTTCAATTTTAAGTATAAGAGATCTGTTCTTGTCTTACAGTCAGTTGGGATAAACTGATTCAGCAACTCAGGTATTGGGAGCTCAGGAGACTAATTCTAGGACGCTGTCTTCATCCTGATTGATTGAGTATCTTAGGAACCACAGTTTGTTTATGCGAACATTCCAGACTAGTGTCACAAGCAGGGACACTGAGCTGCTGGCTTCCATGAGAAGCTCAGCTTCTCCAAAAGGCGGCCTCCACGCCCGCCCACCTTTCAGTGCTAAGGGTTTTTGCCAAGAGATGTAGAACTCACAGGGATTGCCCTTTCTGCTACAGTGTGTGCTTCCCAACTGCTTGGGAAGAGGTGGCAAAAATCCCAGCCTTCAGGAGCAGGGTAGCTCAGGGAGTCTGTTCCTGACCCTTGACCCGAAGGTGGTCTCCCACCCAGCACAACCGTGCATCTGTCTCCACACTGCCCCATCCCTCCTGGGTCTGACAGAGGCACTACTTCTTTACTGATTGTGAATATCTCTTTAAATGATATATAGTATTTCTAGCTATTTAATTTTTTAAAAAGTTAATATGCAGCTAGTTGATTTTATTATTTCATTTTCGCATGTCTCATTGTACTGTGCTCTCCGCCCTCCCGTCTCCCTCTTGCTACCTGGATGCCCTTAAACACTGGACTGTGGACCCTGAGAGATAAATGGGTCTTTATTTTGGAGCTCATGCTTTCACTTGGGATTAGTGTTTCAGCACAAGCAAACAAAAACACATTTTGGGAGAAAGGATATTTAATATTTGTCATTTGAAAGGTAAATAATTTCTTGGTACTGGTAATTTATAAAAGCATTCAAATAGTCTTTATGGAAGTTCCTCCACCTGCTTGTAACTTAAGGTTTTGTTCTGATTCTTTAAGTTGTGATGATTAGTTGCGTGGTTTTTTTCACAGCCAAGGTGCTATGCAATCAGAAGGTACCTGACGGCACTGCGTAATGGTGCTCATTGAAAACACCCAGCCATTTCATTGTCTTAATGATGAATCTTTCTCTTGCTTGTGACCGAGTCTGAGATTGCGTATTTATCCTCACTTGTTTCTAGTAGTTCAGATGTCTTTTCCTAGTCATATGAAGTGGCTCTGGTGGGTGAGGGACTTGGGCTGAGATCCGATTGTGTTTCCAAACACGACCACTACTTGTAGGAAATGCATCATTGGATAGTAGTCTTTTGGGTTTAGCCTGGATTTGCTGTTATTTCGTATCTATATTCCTTAAGCTGTGACCCTTTAGATTTCTTGAGCTGCATCACCTGCTTACTGCTGGAATGGAAGGCTATCAAGAGAAAACAGCAATCTGGAAGTTGAAATTGGTCAGCCCCAAGATGACCCATCAGTTTAGAGTTTAGGAAGGCTGTAGTTTTGTGGGAAGTTCTCTTGGTTGGTAGAACAGTTAAGAAATGTTGGATCCCAGAGCAAGTCCTGTAAATTTTCTGATGTAATTTTTTGAAGTACTTCAAATTTCATTAGCCAGAATTTTCTTGTTTAGAATGAATGGGTATACAGTTTAATTTCCAACTTTCTTTTTTTCAGGAGTGTGTACTTTGGTGTGTGTGTTGACATTTGCATGTGGTTTGGCATTATATGAACCTTGGAGCTGTGTATTGTGTGACCTTAAGTCAGCCACCTTGAGTCCCTTCTCTGTAGTAAGGACAGACTTGAGTAAATAATTAAATTGTGTGAAGAATCTCTGTCACCTACAGCAATGTCTGTCTTCCATTAAGAAGTTGCTTAGGTCATACAAATTTCTAGTTGCTCATTCCCCAAACATATTTGGTAGATCCCACAATGGAAGCCAACACCGGGGTGCCACAAAACTAATAAAAATCAGTTAGTACTGACTGAGAAGATGGCCCAGCATCTGTAATGGTACTTGGTACCTGCTGGCATCACTGGGGCCCATGTTTGCCTAACCTTCCACTTTATGTTTTTAAATTTTAGAATCGAGAGTATACATAACAGTATTTTCCTTTTCTATTTTCATGAACAGACAAATGTTTTCAGGTTCTCACAGTCCAAGAAAAAGGAAACTTCCTTTGGTATTTAAAATTATAACCTACTCTTTAAAAGCCCATACCCTCTCCTTTTTATATCTTCTCTTTTTTTTGTCAGTCAATATTTTTTAATAGGTTGAAGATATATTGCTTGATAATACCGATGAGTAAGCTGCGGTATAGAGAATACACATCGAACTATCAGCGAGCTTTCTCCTCACAGCAGACTATGTCCGTAGGAATGTCCCGAAATGAACAGTTCACAGTAGTTAAAACCTGACAAGTTGGTAAAGCTTCTAAGTAATTTAAGAATTAGATGTGTGTCAGTCAAAAATCAAAGGGTTTCTTTTTCTTGGTAAATTAGCTTCAGAAACATTCCCCTTTCTCTTCTTACTCGTGTGGAGACATTGCTCAAGGAAGTCTTTAAATGCTCAAAGTCGGGCCAGGATTGAGACAAAAGGGGGAGCAGATGAGGGAAGCACTTCCCCGCAAATTGTTCTGCAAAAGCCAGAAGGGTGCCTAGCCCTCACCTCCTAAGTTTTACAGACTGCATTCCAGGTTCTTGTGTGTAACCTCCTCATCAAAGTTGGTCTGCCTAGCAGCTGGCACCAAGCCAGGCCTTTACTATGAAGCTGGCCTGATCGCTTGAAATAGCTAATTCGCTAAAAGAAAGGTAATTTAGGGCTATCCCATGAGATCCCTAGAGAAGGAGCTTTTTCCTTGTTTCTTCGCTCACCTCAATGGC